GATCTGAATATTTAATAAAAATCCAATTTAATATACCATGATGTGTACAAATATAAATGATAGTACTGGATATATTAAGTCCATTTTGATTAATATATTCAAATAATGTTTTATATTTATTAATATCTAATGGTTGATGTTGAAAATCATATACTGATGTTTTTAATTTACTATCTAGTTTAAAGAATATTTCAATATATTAAAATTATTTATATATTTTTCATTTTACCTAATTTAAAAATATCAATAAGTCTATGATGAATACTATTAAAATCCATATCAATTGGATCCCATTGACAAAAACGACTACCACCACCATCTTCAAGTTCAAGTTTTTTTATTTTACCATCTTTTGTTATGGTTAAACGACCACATCGAAATCTTTTAGTCATATTTATATTATTACCTAAAATATTCTGAAATTTCAAGTAAGAAAATATATTTATTGAAATAATATTGGTTTGCTTCCGATAATCATCATGTTTTTTTTTTCGTTCATTTCAAAAATAAAATGTTTAAACAGTACAGAGAAAAACAAAATAAGATGTTAGGCATTTAAAATGAAATAAATATAGACATACATTTCATATTTTCTTCTGATATTATTTGTTTTTGAATAATCAATTAAAATTAGATATAGAACATTAATGAAAAATGTGAAGATCCTCAGACGATAATCATTATTCAAAGATCTAGTCTAGACTAATATATTTCATACAGAATAGAAAATTTAATTCCTATGTAATGTATTTTTGAGAAATGAATGAAATTTAATGCATCAATCATATTAAATTTATTCAGACTAATCAAAATGATATAATATCTATTCGTTTTGATGGTGAGTTACAGAATTTACATAATTGAACAAAATTCAATTCGATTAGTCAGCCATCATGCTTCTCCTATAGTCTCCATTCATTGAATATTGTTTTCTTCATTTCGATAGGTTCTCTTAATTTGACCCTACAATCTATAGACACATGTGAAATAAAGTTTAAAATAAAAACAATACATAAAATAAAATTAGAATGATACTGTTGGTAATATCTGAATTTGGTTTATTACAAACGTTCATATCGACCATTTCTCAATTCTGATAGTTTACACGTGTCGAGTAGCTCAATTTTTGAGTCGATATTCTTCAATTAAATTTACAGATTCACACATTAATGATCCGAGCAATGCATCTTGACATGCATACAAATTTTATTACATCAAAAAATTTTTTTTTAGTTGTTTGTCTATAATTTGTTTTGAATTTAATTGAATATTAGGATTGTAGGGAATCTTCTGTAAATGTAGTTTTCGCTTTTCTCAGAAAACATTGTGTTAATTTTGATATGGAGTTCGAATCAGTGAATAAAGACAGAAAACCTCTGTTCTGAAAAGATATATCCAATCAAGTTTCTGCGCATGCCAAAGTCTATTGTTTCTTGATATTTTCAAGCCACATCAACCACGAGAGGGTATAGGATCTTTAGAATCATAGCATCATGTTAAAACAGATTTAATATTCACGAACTCTTACTGTATCTCTGAAAAAAATTTCTCTTGAAATATTGAAACCAAAAGCTAGGACGGACTAATTACCAGAGAGTTCATTCTAATAACACAAAGATGTATTCTAGAGTAATTAGAAACCCTTGTGATAAGTCGTGAGTTTAATATTATAGGAAAACTTGATTAACTAAAAAGTTTCGATTAAGAATCCGACTAAAAAACGATCATAAAAGTGCCATTATAAGGGTGTGAGTGGATATACGTGTTGAAGTGTTCTCTGTCACGCACATACCCACAAACATGTCACTCACCTGTTAAACAATAGTGGATGATATTGAAAAGAGCTTGATTATTATTCTTTATTACTGTTCTGTTTTCTATTAGTATGTGTCTTCTCTTTGGTATACTTCGTGATGTCATGCCTACTGAAGAAGTGTATGATTATAATAATACTACATAATATGCATATTTCATTTTATTTTTATGCCATACTTGACCTTTTCCTTATCATTAGTTCTTATGCCTACTATGATCTATCTCACTTGACGTAATATTCAGCAGACTCGTGAGTGGCAAGTTATCAATCATATCACAAATAATTTGACTCAGCATGTATCTCGAATGATTTTAATTCAAACGATCACCATTGTTGTTTTGACTATACCAGGTACAGTTTAAAATCTTTATGGCATATTTTTTCATAAGGATTTATTAATGTCAACAGTCATAGAAAGATTTATGGTTTGTCTGATACAAATTTTAACTTATACGAGTTCTTGTACATCATTCTATCTATATCTATTACTGCCTCGCTTATTAATACACTTGTGTATATTCATCATGAGACAGTTACACAATTAATCGAAAATTCTGTCACTCGTCGATTCGAAATTGTTGTGCTATCGATTAAATATTTTCGCTCTATTTCTTCATATCTTGAAAGAAAATTTTCTATTCACTCTGCATGTCGAAAAAGCTTTATTGGATGCTTACACTTTTAGAAAGCAATGCTTAATAGATTATCCTAAGTCTTTAATATAAAAATACAATGTTCACTCGTAAGATATATTTCAGTCAAGGTTTTGGAACACGTTCTTGATCTTTCCGACTAAACATGATAGATAATGCGTTTCACTATTCTCTGAAAATATTCTTCGCCATCTCCAAAAAAGAATATTCAAAAACAAAATAACGATTTCCATTTTTTTTCTGGACTAGTTCCTTTCGTAATCCTATATCTAGACTTCTCAGCATTCATTCCTTCTTTCTTCGATCCTATTCTCTTTTTAATTAACGTTTTAAATACCTATCTTGTCATAGATTCAAACTCTGGGTGGGTGTGAGTGTGAATGTAAAGAGAAGAATTAATCACGCCCACACCCACCCATTTGTACATAGAAACGGAATAGTTCACATTTTTTTGTTTGAAAATGCATGATGAATTCTTATTTCAGTGATTTTTTTTTCTTTCTATTAATTTAACAATTTAGTATCGCGTAAAGCCAATAAAAGTGCACATAAATGATCATTACTGATGCCAAAATTTGTCTTTTATTTAAATTCAATAATCAATCAATTCTAGCATAGAATACCCCAAATATTTTTTATATTCACGTTCTCACACTATTCTTAAGGAAAAACTGAATAACAGTATCATCAATAATTTGCTCTAAAAAACTAGATAAAATATCTATAATACTCTTTGATAGCTATGGTATAATATTGTAGTAATCTATATCTCGTTGCAAAATTCGTCGGATTGTCAAATTTAAGGAAAAAATATATTTGCATCTTGTATGAAGTAGAACGAATCAATTTAATGCACACTTCATTATATACATGACAAATCAGTGATCAGGAAACGATTATATATCTATTTTATTTAGATATAAAATTAAATAATAAAAAATAGAGATAATTTTAATGAATATTTCAAAAAAGAATGAAGATGAGAACTACAGCTATCATTTTATCTTAACATTTTTAAAAAATATATAAAAACGTTAGAAAAATCTTCATTGTTAGAGAAGCAAGTGAGATTTTTCTTCATTTTTATAAAATAAAAATAAGATTTCATTGATTTGTTTAAAAGATCAAAGA